GTGCTGTGCCTTGACCTATCCTGTGCCTCAGCCTGTCCTGTGCCTTGGCGTGTCCTGTTCCTCGGCCTGTCCTGTGCCTTGACCTGTCCTCTGCCTCGGCCTGTCCTGTGCCTTGGCCTGTCCTGTTCCTCGGCCTGTCCTGTGCCTTGACCTGTCCTCCACCTCAGCCTGTCCTGTGCCTTGACCTATCCTGTGCCTCAGCCTGTCCTGTGCCTTGGCCTGTCCTGTGCCTTGACCTATCCTGTGCCTCAGCCTGTGCTGTGTCTTGACCTGTCCTGTGCCTCGGCCTGTCCTGTGCCTTGGCCTGTCCTGTGCCTTGACCTGTCCTGTGCCTTGACCTGTCCTGTGCCTTGACCTGTCCTCCGCCTCAGCCTGTGCTGTGCCTTGACCTATCCTGTGCCTCAGCCTGTCCTGTGCCTTGGCCTGTCCTGTGCCTTGACCTGTCCTGTTCCTTGGCCTGTCCTGTGCCTTGACCTGTCCTCCGCCTCAGCCTGTCCTGTGCCTTGACCTATCCTGTGCCTCAGCCTGTCCTGTGCCTTGATCTGTCCTGTTCCTTGGCCTGTCCTGTGCCTTGACCTGTCCTCTGCCTCAGCCTGTCCTGTGCCTTGACCTGTCCTCCGCCTCAGCCTGTCCTGTGCCTTGGCCTGTCCTGTTCCTCGGCCCAGCTGGCATCCGTCCCAGGCACCTCAGCTTCCGGCCTTGCTCTCTGTGCTGTTTTCTGGCTCTGTCCTCCTCTGTCTGCCTCTCCCTTCCTTCCCCTCCCCCATCTCTTTCTCTCTCTGCCTCAGTGTCTCTGTCCCTCTTATCTCTGTGTGTCTGTCTGGTCTGTCTGTTATTCTCATGTCTCTCTCTACCCTGTTTCTGCCCTAGTGTCTGTTCCTCTCCTCTCTCCCTCTCCAACGCTCGCTCTCTCAATCTTTCTTTCCGGTGTCTACCCTGGCTTTCTGTCCCAGCCTCTTCTGCTCTGTCTGCCTCTCTCTCTCTTTTCCCTTTTGTTTATCTCTCTCCCTTCCATCTGTCTCTTTGCCTGTATCTTGGTCTCACTCTCTGCCTCTCTGCCTCTTTACCTCTCCCTGTCTCTCCTCTCTCTCTCTCTGTGTTTTCTGGGTCCATCTTCTTTCTCCCAGTCTCTTCCTTTGACTCTCTCTCTCTCCCTCTGTGACCCTCTCTTAGGCACTATTTCCTGTTGTCTGCTTCTCTCTGCCTCAGTGTTTCTGTCCTCTCTCCTGTCACTTTCTATCTCTGCTTCAGTCTCTGGCTGTCTCTCTGCCCTCCCAGCTCCCTGGTCACTTCCCCCATTCGTCCTCTCGTGTGCTCTTTCTTTCTCAGATGGAGCCCTCTGTCTGCGTTCCTTCTTGCCGGCTGGCTCCCTGTCTGTTGCTGAAAAGTGATGCAGATGGCTGGCAGGTGCAGCTGTCCAGTCAGGTCCTGCCCTCCCCTCCCTGCCCCATACCTGTCCTGGATACCTCCAGAATGCTCAGCTGCACTCAATCTAGTCTTCAGGTGCAAAGACACAAGAAAAGGAGAACCAGGGCACAGGCAGAGCCCTCGGCTTCCAGGCAGGACTTAGAGATTAATGCCTGGCCATCGGTGTCCACCTTGGCTCTGGGCTCTATGGTGGAACTGAGTACCCGGTGCCATTCAGCAGGGGGAGCACTGCACTGGGAGTCAGGAGGTCCTGGGTTTATCCAGGTTCCGTTGCTAAGTTTCTTCGTGACCTTGGACATACTGCACCTCTAAGGCTCCCGTTTTTACTTAACGGACAGAGGACAGTAAGAGCCTTAAGACTCACCTAGCCTAGGAAGGAGGGAATCCAGTATGCTGCCCCAGGGGTCTTCTCAGGCCCTGGGGAAAGCAGAAATAGGCCAAGGATTTAGGGACAGAAGACCCCAGAATTGTTCCCATGTGTTCCTCTGAGTGAGGTAGGCTCTTACTTTGAGCTCAGTTTTACTATCTGTGCACCAGCCTTCCAACCTCACAAGAGGTTGGAAGGAGAGATGGCGCGATAAGAGTGCCAGGTCTCTAGGCAGAGAGAGACTGAGATGACATCACTTCCTCTGTGGTCCCAACCCTCCTGTGTCGAAGTGGCTCTCTGAAAGAATCACCATGCCATAGTACTTGGAAAGAGAAATCAACCGATATTCTAGGCATACCGAATAACTTCTGGAAGGATCTGTGGTGACACTTGTGAGGCAAGATGCGAGGGGACTGCCTTGCACAAGTTGCGCAGCAGAGAGAGGTGCTAAAATCCACCAGAGTTCGAGGCAGGATCAGAGAAGAGAATGCCGAGGAGCCCACCGGCTAACTGAGGATTGGTACTTAGGAAGCTGGGTGGGCAGTTCTTCCCTGCCTCCTGACTGAGTGGACTAGACAAGTATCAGCTTTTGTTCCTGGGGAGAAGCGCGTTCCCTGGGCAGCCAGCGGTCCTAGGGAAGGAGGAGGAGAAAGGAAATACACGTACTGAAGAGAGCACAGAGACCTCCACCTGTGGGAATATCCACCTGCCCTGCAGTCTCACGAGTGGGCTGCAGCCAACATAATATCACTCTAGTGACAGCCCTGAATCTTCTTCTGTCACATGGCCAAAACCGGCATCTGGAAAGACGCACCCATCTTAAGGAAAAAAAAAGAAAGAAATAACAGTTTGGGAAATCAAGTCAATTAGGGAAAACAGAAGAGTTCAGGATAAGTTTCATGTGCTGTGCTTCTAAATTCAGTTAGTGTCATGCAGAGCTGCAGCAGGGTCCCAGGGACACAATGGTATGGAGAACAACCTGCCATTCCTTGCAAATGACTTAGGAGAGATAAGCACAGAGCAGAATAGGGCATCTAGTGAGACCAAGAGGTCAGGGACGTGAACCGGAGCTGTGCCCTATAGGCAGTCGCACAGCCAGCAGAGGACCAGCAAGCACACGGGAAAGAAGGGCGCCCGTGGCTGCCGAGGCACCATCAGAGGCTACTGGTGGTAGCGTGAGTCACCCAGTGCAGTACCTGGCTTCCTCCATCCGCTGAGGTCTTGGGGCCCCTCTGAATGATGACCCCAGCTGAGGACACTAGACCCTAGCTTACTCCCATGGATGTCTGAGAATTCTGGCTAAAGGAAACCAGAATGCAGCTGGGTCAAGTCTGGCACTAAGAGCCACAAGCAGGTCTATTCACTGCTATCAGTGAGTCATCTATCTACTGATTCATGGGCATAATTCCTATGGGAGGAATTATTATTCCTATGAAGCACAACAGGACAGTGTTAGGGAGGTGAGGATTCTTGTCCAGGGTCCCACAGGAACCAAGGGGTTCACAGCCAGTTGTGTGGGTAACGAGAGAAGGTAGGATGGGAATTGGATAGATGGGTGGATGACGGCTTGCTGTTAGCAGTGAGTTCTTAGGTCTTCTTCAAGTATCGGGAACATAATGGATGCTCAGACTTACTGGGCGAATGAGTAATGCATGCAGCATAGCTGAAGTTTTACCAACTGTGTTGAAAACGCTACACGTCTATTTCTTTGACTCACACAAAGACCCACGTGAGGAGATTATGCAGTTCACAGAAGCTTCATGGCCATCCCTGAGTCACAGATGAGGAATGAGAGAGAGGAGTGTGCCTTTCTGACCTTTCGTCTCTACTCCATGACCCTCAGGATGCATTCACTCTGGGGCTGTCCTGTGTGATGTGGAGCCTGGGTTTGGCGGAGTCTGCGAAGAGAGGCGCTCCATGTACTTGGACACTTAGGACTTTTGCTGCCTTTTTCTGTGACACCACAGGATGTTCGTCCAGGTGTTTCCTGATATTTCTTTTTTCAATATATATTTTTATTGAATTTCGGCATTTAATACATCTTAATCATATTTAGACACACTTCCTATCTGCATCCCCTCATAGATTTCATGTATTCTGTCATACACGTTAAGGCCTATTGAGTCAAAGTTGTGTCCTCTGATGTCCCTCTGTGTGAGTTTATGAGTTCATCCACTGGAGCCTGTCCAGCCAGTCCATCCAGCATCACTCCCTTAAAGAACACCAACTCTCCCTTACAAGCAGTGATCATCTGCCAATATGTCCTCAGCTAAGGTTGGGGCCTCCTGCCCATTTCCTCAGTTCTGTGCTGGGTTTTGGCTGATTGAGTTTGCATGGGTCTTATGCGTGCTGTCACCATGGCTGTAAGTTCATATGAGGACGGTCCCAAAAGCCTGGAAAGTTCTGTTTCCTGTGGTCATCCACCACCCCCACTCCTACGGTCTTTTCACTCCTTCCTTCTTCAATGGTCCTTGAGCCCTGGGTGGCAGAGGCTTAGTGTCAGAATCCAATCCAGGGACACGCACTCTGCAGTCTCTCATCTCTACATTTTGGCCAGTTATGTCTTTCCGCCTTAATCTCCCTCTGCTATGTGAAGAAGCTTTGCTGGTGAGAGTTGAGAGATGCCTTGATATTCTCTCTACCCCTGTTCTGCTGTTTTGTGGGCCTTAGGTATAGAGGTTCCATTGTAGATGTGTCACTTAGGGCTGGGCATCTCACAGACATTTATTCTCTGTGTTTGACCAGTTTGGGACTCTACTCATCTCCCTCTGTTGCAAAAATAAGCTTCTTTGATGAGTGGTGACTGGCATACTTGTCTGTAAATATAAGGATCCATATTTAGCGTGCAGTAAGAAATATATAGGTTTTTCTCTATGCTCTACGACCTCTCCATCCATGTGTATTTGGCCGTGTTTACAGTACCACACAGGAGTTCCCTCCCATTGAGCTGGCTTTAAGTCCAGTTAGATAATTGTTGATTATCCCCAAGATAAAAGTGCCACTACTGCTCCATTAGAGACAGTTTACTGTGCAGGTTATTGTTGTGTTATTAGGCTTTACAGTTGGGCGTGGACCGCTGATTGATTTTCTCCCTTAGCAGCTTGACTAGTATCCTCTAATACCATGAGAGCCCGTCTTCAGGGTGGAGGCTTCCAGGTCAGTTCCAGCTCTATTTGTTCATTTCTTGATTTTCCGCCTTTGCCAGGGGGAACGAGGCCTGGACGGATTCCCTGGGAAGCCTGGAGAGACAGGAGAGCAGGTAGGTGGGTACTGGGGCTGGTAAGTGATGTTCTTTGAAGACAGGATTGGCTTACACCCTAGGTATCATCCTCAGTGTCCTTCCTGCTCAGTGGAGGCAACAAGAGGACCCTAGGCTGTGTTGATTCTGCCAACTCCAGAGCTACAGGGATCCCAAGGAACACACTAATTTGTATCCATTGTACTTGGGTAAAATGATACATTGTCATAACATAAGGACACGGACAGTGCACAAACTTAAAGGAATGGGTACATATGGATGGAGTCTACAGTGTGTCTGTAGTGTGGAAGATTAGAAGCAGCCCATATGTTCAAAGCAATTGAATATACCAAGACTCACTGATACCAATGAAAGAGAAGTATCTGTGAATTCACCAAGAGATCCTGACTGCACCTGTGCCTTGGGCTCTGGAGGATGAACTGGAAGCTGCTGAAGTGACTGTTTGTTGAACTTCTCCACTTTGAGTGGAATGAAACGACGATGTTGGACACACATCCTTGGATGCATTTCTGTACATTAGGGTAAAGTCTCTAAACTCCGTCTCCAGCGGTGGCCAGGGCTTGTCAAACTCATTTCTTGAAGACCATATCGTCTGGACACAGAGTGCCCTGTCAGATCTCTTCCCTCTTTTCTGCAGCAGATATCCATGCTTGTATTCATCCTTCCTGCTCACTCTTGGAAGGAAGGAGGCACTGTGTGAGGACGCTGAAGAGGTGGACTGTCTTTAGAACCTCTTCTCTTATGCAGCTCTCTGGGCCTCTGTTTCTGTGCATAGTTCCCCAGTCTTAGCCAGAATTCAGGCTGACTTTCCCTCTTCTCTGAGTTTGGAGGCCAGTCAGTCCCAAGACCTCTAAAGATTTGCAAACAGCTCCATCAGCCTTTGCCCTCTGCGCTCCCTGGCCCAAGGCAGATCTGGCTGGATCGCAGCTTCTGCTTGTTGCTCGTGTTCTCTTAGTGTGGTCCTCTTATCCTTAAGCAAAAGGTGTCAGTGCCCTGCTTCCTCAGACCACAATGTCCACATGGTAGTAGCAGCATGATTCTAAATGGGTAACATGGAGGTGCAGAGTTTAGATTATCAGGGGAAGAACTCTGCATGAAGCAAAACCCAGGAAGCCTGGAGTCAGGGAACCTGGGCTCTGAGGAAAACCAAGCCACAGCTCTGGGCCTGCAGCTGCCTGGATCTTCTCCTCCTCCATTCGTGCCTGTACCATCCCACTCTTTCCTAGTGCCTGCTGTAATCCACTTTTGCTCTCTTTCTTCTAGGGAAGACCTGGTTCTCCTGGTGTGGCAGGGCCCCAGGGAAAGAAGGTAAGAAAGCCAGGACCCGAGGGAGGGATCGTGTGTGAGCTCTGGGAACAGAGTGCACACACAAAGCATGTTGGTTTGGGCTCAGGAACCCAGCCAACGCGACCGTTCTGGTTATTGCATTTAAATTTGTTTCCTACCTTTCGGAATGAACAGCCACTGAAACACAAAACTCCAAACAGAAATACTTACTGTTACTCAAAGTGATTTTTGGACTAAGGAATGCTATGAAAAGTGCAAAATGTATCTTCAAACCCCTTCGTCCCCCTTCACACTCTTCCTCCAGTTCTCTCTTCCTAACAATCTTTTACAAACGTCTTTTATCCATCCTGAAAATGTGCTTGGCCTTCAATAAAAAAGCTAACAACTGAATCCCATCACACAGGTCAGCTGTCTTAGAACACCTTTCAGTGGGGGTTACCTTAATAAATTCGATGCTCAGAATTTCTGTATCTCCACCCAGACGACTGCACGATAAAGTTCTTTGCAAATTGTGAAGCGATGATGAGGATGTGTGAAATGTAACAAGTTCCAAGCATTCCAGTCAGAACGAGAGCAAACGTAAAGGGGGTGGTGGTTTGAGATTTCAGCGTGAGAGATCAGCCTGTGTAGGAGCATCTGAAAGGGGACTGACTCCTAGAGGGCCTCAGAAGAAATGAGACGCCAAGCTAGACAGAAGGGAGGGGAGAGACTAGTAAAGAGGTTGGGGACTTGGTGTGCTGACCCTGTGGGATCAGAGCAGCTTAGCATCTCAGCTTCTGCAGGAGGAAGGTGATGGTCATCTTGCAACAGTCTAGTTCCCAGCATACAGTTAAAGTGCAGGAAAGGGCCTCTTTGAAGTCCTTACAGAGGTAGATAAGGTGTGCATTGTGAATGAATGAATGAATGAATGAATGAATAGAAAGCATAGGTAAAGAGCCTCCTCTGAGGCACAGGACTGCTCCTGTCACCCTCTTGCTCACCTGGACTTCACTTCTAGCTGAGTTAAGTATTCTCTCCAGCTAGGTGATTTTAGGGTTGAAATTCACCTTTCTTTGGTGTTGGGATTTTAATACATTCTTACAGCCTCTTGCCACAGATGTGAAATCCTGAAACAATTCGCTCGTTTAAAGTCACTAGAGGGAGTGATGCTTATTGTGGGGTCCTTGGTAATAGCCCTCTTTCCTGCTGCATGTGCATGTGTGTGCCTGTGTGTGCACATATGCATGTGTGTATGCATGTGCATGTGTGTTTATGCATATATGCCTGAGGACATGTTGTGCATCTTATGGATTCTAACATTGTTGTCTTTGAGGATTTGGCTTATCCTCTTGCTTGGGGGAAACACTGAATCATTGCTTCTTGTGGTCAATGCAGAGGTGAACGGATCACAGCTTCCTATCACCTGTTGTGTGTGCACATATGCATGTGTGTATGCATGTGCATGCGTGTTTATGCATATATGCCTGAGGACATGTTGTACATCTTATGGATTCTAACATTGTTGTCTTTGAGGATTTGGCTTATCCTCTTGCTTGGGGGAAACACTGAATCATTGCTTCTTGTGGTCAATGCAGAGGTGAACGGATCACAGCTTCCTATCACCTGGAACGTTTATTAGGAATTAGAAACCAGTAATCAGATGATGAGGAGCCTGTGGCCTCATTGAGAACAAATTCTAGATTTCATAGAACCTTTGTTATACAGTCATTGAGAAAGTCACTGGAACTTTACTTTGAAACTCCTCTTTTTGCATATAAGATGCAGAGAATGGAAAACTTCAGAATATCTTGCCCAGGACCTCACAGTAGATTTCATCAAATCCTCACAGTACCCTCAGAGACACATGTTGCAGAACACACAACTTATGTTGCATTAGAAATTCTATTAGGTTGGGGCTGGAGAGATGACTCAGTGGGTAAGAGCACTGGCCGTTCTTGCAGAGGTCCTGGATTCAGTTCTCAGCACCCACCACAGCTAACAACCATCAGAAACTCCAGTTCCAGGGAACTCAGCACCCCCTTTTGGCCTCTGTAGACATTGCAACATCACAGACATACATACATGCAGGTAAAATACTCATACACATAAAAATAAAGCAACTTTTTAATTTTCTCTTTCTAGACCACCTCCATGCCTGTACCCATGATCTTTTGTTAAGTATTAATTACCACAGAGATCAATAGCTTAACACAGTAATCATTCAAGCTCTTTCATGGTTTCAGAGCAGTAACTGAGAGATACATGAATGGATTTGTTCTGGCTCAGGATCTATCCTAAGGTTGTGGTCCGTCTGTCAGGCAGGCGGTAGTTACATCAAGGGTGCACTGGGGCTGGAGGATCTACTGTGGGCACTGGTGGGCTCTGCTCCTCAGGGGTTATTGGCAGTATTGGGACTCTCTATGGTGCTTCTCACAGTGGAAATTGCTTTCCTTAGAGAGAGTAGACTTAGGCGAGGAAAAGAGGAAAATCCCTAAATAGAAGACAGAGTCCTTTTAATAATCTAACCATGGGGATTACATTGCACCCTTCTGCTACTGTTTGCCATATAGAGGACACCACACAGTGTGGAGGCCGCTATGCGAGGTGTAAATACTAGGGTGCAGGATAATTCTGGAGGTTGGCTACTCCAGTTGCTAAAACTGATCACTACAAAAACTGATCCTTCTCTATAGTGGAAAAGCGACTCCAAAAAAGATTTTAATCTGTTACTTATTAAATTATTTTTTCCCAGCATACACTCCTTAAGGAACAAAAGCACACATTTTCTGTATGGCATTCAGTCAGGAGATCCAGGATCTGAAGCCCTTGTTCATTAGTCTCAGTGGAGAGACTTTATCTTTGCCACTTAGCTCATCCCCTGGGGCTCTGGTTACCTGATCAGTACTGAAGTTGTTCAAAGATACATTCTTTTTACTAAATGCTCATACCCTGGCTAAATGCTCATACCCTGGCAAACTCTGGCCTAAGTGGATGTGAATGTCATGCAGTCCAACCTTTGCCCTGGTCGCCGTGCTCAGCAGCAGCCATCTTGGCTAGCAAAGCGGCATCCTGCTTATTTGCATATTCATCTTTTAGCCTTGAACAAGTTACTCAACACTCCCATGTTTCAATGGCCTCATTTCTAATACAGGAAAGCATTATTCTAGAAAAAAGTCATCGACATCAATTCTAGCCATTATGACCTGGCTGACTGTCCAATTAGTTATGCTTTCATAATTATTATAGATGAAAGCCAGGATGTTATTTTCCCTTAATGAAAGTCTAATATGTCAAAAGATTTTCCCTCCTATTATGAGGGTTAAAACATGTATTGACTCATTTCATAAGTACTATTAGCACTCACTTTTTGTTTAGTGATGTTAATGCCAAGCACATATAACTGACAGAAGTGAAGGGCTAGAGAGACGAGTCATAAATGACAGAAGACGTCATGAGCCCCAGAGATTCACTGTTCAGCCATTTATAGTTTGCTTTTGCCTGCTGTCATATGTGGGTATGACATCTTTGCACAATAATACAGTATAGCTTCTAACACTCATACATTACCAAGATAGTAACAAAGCTTATGGGATCATAAGGTGGACAGAGCCAGCCTGAGGTCATGGGGAATGCAGGGGATACATTTGAGCCACAACTAGAGTGCATGACATATGCATGCATGCTAGGGAGGTGCCAGATAGATTATAGAATGGTTTAAAACACATCGTGTAGGCATGCATAGCTGTATAATATGCACACATGTGTGCATATGTGTGCACAGTGATAACACAGAGGAAATAAAGATGCCTGTCAGGAAGAACTCAATTATTACATGTGAGAGACCAAAGAGAATGTACAGTAAAGAAAACGCTGTCTTTTAGTGAACTTTTTAGTTAGTTTACAAAGTTGCAGGTTTACATATGGCATTTTATTCAGCCTTTTTGACAAAGAAAAGAGCAGCTGAGGGGCTGGGAAGGTGACTCGGTGGATGAAAAGCTTGCTGAGCACATGCGAGGACTCGACTTGTGTTCCCCAGCACTCATTAAAAAAAAAAATGGGACAGGTTTCACAGCCTGCCTGTTATCCCAGCAGTTGGGGAGGCAGAAACAGGATCCCCAGGGCAAACTGGCTGATTGGACTAGCTAAACTGGTGAGCTCTTGGGTCAGTGAAAGACGCCATCTCAGTAAACAAGATGAAGAGTCATCAAGGAAGTCACCTGTTGGCAACCTATGGCATTCAGCTGCACATAGAAACATGTGCCTGCATGCTCACACATGTATACATATGCATACCCACACGCAAAGACAGAAGAGCACAGTTGATATTTAAATAAATGCTCTTGGTGTGGCACACAAGAAAACAGTGGTCTTTCAATGTTTTAGGCAGGGAC